TCCCCTGCAGCTGTACCGTGACCTTCACCCCCTCCTCCAATTCTCAAAAAACAACCTCAGTAGCTTGTAGGACCTGAACCCTCACCGCCCACCCCAACCCCCAGAGCCCAGGCAGTTTCACCCAACCAGGGCTCCCTTGCCCACACCGGGTCCCGGCTGCTGCCGTCATGCTGAGGCCACTCGTGAGGAAGTCCCACCTCGGGGCCCAAAGGCCTGGTACCTTGCATTTGAATGGCTTCACGGGCGAGTGTACAATCATGTGGGTCTTGAGGGTCTGCTTCTGCACGAAGGTCTTGAAGCAGATGTGGCACTGGTAGGGCCGAACGCTCGTATGGATCAGCATGTGCCGCTTCATGTTTGCCTGCAGGGTGAACTCCCGGCCACACACCTCGCACTTGAACTCCTTCACACCCTGTGCGGGGTGGGAGCGATGGTCAGGGCCACACAATGGACACAGGCTCTGGAAGTGCGTGCGTGTGTGTGTGTGTGTGTGTGTGCGTGTACCACAGGGTCAGAGCTTCTGGGAAATGACTTCCTGGGGATGTTCCAAACAGGGGCCACTTGTTTGAAATGCCCTGCAGGATGTTGGGGAAGAACCCTTTACTCTGGAAAGCATTCCAGTGATAGGGAGAGATCGGCTGAGTCTTATTGTTCTGACCCATACACCTGCTGTCTCCTGCCCAAGAGGGCAGGTGGATTTGTAGGTCTGTACCAGGGTACCGAGGCAAGCGTGTTCGTTTGCACGTTAATTCATTCATTAATTCATCAACCATATACCAGGCACCTGCTATAAGCCAGCATCACATCAGGCACCAGAGGCCTGTGGCCAAGAAGACACAGCCTTAGCCTGGGGGCCTGGATGGCTTCCTGAGACCAAGATGCATGTATATATTTTTCACCTCAGTGCTGTCTCTCAGTGGTTTTTTGCTTCACAAACCCCTTTGAGAGTATGATTAAAGGTATGAGCACCCCAGGAAAAATGAAAAAAGATTCAGGTCTGTGTAGAATTTAAAGAGTTCTCAAACCTCAGAGCCCATCCACGACCCCTGAGAGTGTATTCTAAGCTTCTCTTGTGATAAGAACAACCCGTAGCTCTTGTTGAACATAAAGCCTCTCAGGCCCCTCCCTGGAGATTCAAATTCCCACGAATTTTTAATCCCAACAGGTTCCGCAGGTGATTCTTATCACTGATGGACTTTGGAACACAACCCCAGGAGACAAAGATTCCAAGGGAAAACCCTCTGGTTTGGATGGTCAACATGCTTTTCCATGGTCTGGAGGTGACCCCCAGAGCAGGACAGGGTGCTGTGTGCACAGGAAGCACAATGTATTGTCTGGGTAGGAAAGTGAGGACAAAAGTTCCTAGAACCCCAGTAATTTAGTAGAACTCCAGTGGCACAGACACATTTCTGTGGTCACAGCTGCTGTCCCAACTGCTTGTTTGGTACAAAGTTTCATGTTATAATTTAACAGTTCCCGTGTCTATTTCTCTCAGCAGACAGGCTGTGTCTCCTGTCTTGTATGCTTGCTTGAGAGCGAAGATGACGTGTATGACCATGAAGGGGCCCTGCCCTTTGGGATGGTGTGCGCATGTGTAAACTGAGGCTGATAATGGGAATGTTTTCAATTTTATCAGCCTTTGATTTTTGCTTTCGCCTTTTCTTCACAGTATTATTTCTCTTTTAACACTTTGTGGACTTGTGGGGATTTTTAAGTCTCCTAGTAGAGGAGAAAGATGGAAAATATATAGCACGTGTACTTATCACTTTGCATTCTCCCCACCCTCACGCCCCTGCAACCCCCAACTCCCCGCAGGCAGAAAGAATCAATCATCCGGTTTTACAGCTGAGCCCAGATTCAGCTTCAGAATCCTTCTTAACATTACACTCTAGGTAGCTACACCAATTGAATGAGGAGCACCTGCAATGAAACCTAAGAATCACCTCTGCTCCAGCAGAAAGAGTTCCCAGGGCTGGGAAAGGCTGGATTCTCGGCCTGGCAGGCTGTTTCTTCCCTACTCACTGTAGTGTCCACTGTGAGAGATAAGGACATGAGTTTGACCAGGAGTGTCTCTAAGGCCGCAATTATGGAGAGTGGCAGCTCTAGGCATGTTCAGCTTCAAAGAGTGAAGTTGGCTGGATTTGGGGTGGAAACCATGGGTCAGGACAAGTGCCAGAGTGGGACTGTGGGACCTGAGAGGCCTCATTCCCCTTCTGGATGTAAGAGCCTCTCAAAGGAGGTGACATTGGCTGAAAGGCAGGGTGGCCAGTGGACTGAAGGAAGAGGAAGGTAGGGGAGAACTGGTCAAGTTTATGTCTAGGGACACAGTGGAAAAGGACAGTGTTGCTCCACCTTCTGTCCCCACAAGCCACTTTGCTTCATTTTGTCATATTCTAGAACCAATTGTACTTTTCCATAGCAAATATTTTTCCTTACATATATTCCCTTTTTTTTTTTTTTTTTTGCGGTACGCAGGCTTCTCACTGCTGTGGCCTCTCCCGTTGTGGAGCACAGGCTCCAGACCCGCAGGCTCAGTGGCCATGGCTCACGGGCCCAGCTGCTTCGTGGCATGTGGGATCTTACCGGACTGGGGCACGAACTCGTGTCCCCTGCATCGGCAGGCGGACTCTCAACCATTGCGCCACCAGGGAAGCCCACATCTATTCCCTTTTAAAATGAAATATATTTAGCATTTTCCTAAAGGGAAGGCACACAGCTTTTGATAGACTCGTGTAATTACAGGGAGCAAAGGAAGCCCTCTGAGCTTCTGACCATCTATCTCATCCACCTCCCCGTGGCACCCTGGCCTCTCTCCGGCCTCGGTCCTCCCAGCCACGAGATAGAGAATCAGCGATTCTCCAACTGTGCTCCTTGGGTCCTGCAGGGATTCCTCAAACATTTCAGGTAAAAAGTTTTAAAATGAGTCAAGTTTTACTATTTAAAAAAACTAATTTCAATTACATTTTTTTCTAACACTCATCAAAAAAATATAACTATAAAAATGAGAGATGTTCACCACCTAAAAGATCTCAGGCGGTGCTTCGGGAAGCACTGGATGAAAGCATGGCAGGAGGAGAGGGCAGAGCCTCAGGCCTGGGGCCAAGCCCCCGGGGGGAGGCGGGGGGAAACCCCAGGGGCCGGGGCCTCGCTGGGGGAGGCCTGTGGAGTCCTTACCTTGTGGGTGAGCGAGTGTTGCTTGAGGTGGTGGATCTGGCTGAACTCCATGCCGCACTCGGTGCACACGAAGGGCCGCACGTTCTGGTGCTTGAGCATGTGGTTCTGCAGCTGACTGCGGTAGTGGAAGGACTTGTCACACTCGAGGCACTGGTAGAGGGTGGGGCCCTGATGCGAGGCCAGGTGGCGCTTGAGCTGGGTCAGGGTGGAGAAGTCCAGGCCGCACTCGACGCAGACGTGGCAGCGGCCGCTCTCGTGCTTCACCTCATGGGCCTTGAGCTCGCTGGGGTAGGCGAAGCCGCGGCCGCAGAAGTGGCAGCTATAGGGCTTGACCTCCGAGTGCAGCAGCATGTGGCGCTTGAGGTGGCTGGTCTGCGTGAAGGCCTTCTGGCACACCTGGCACTTGTGCGGCCGGGTGCCCTGGTGCGTCAGCAGGTGTGTCTGCAAGTGGCTGGGCTGCTTGAAGAGCTTGCTGCAGTGCGGGCATGAGTGAGGTTTGATGCCATTGTGGCCCAGGATGTGCGTCACCAGGTTGTACTTGGATGTGTAGGACTTCTCGCACATGCGGCACTGCCAGCGCTTCTGACGGTCGCCTGCCTCCACCAGGTATGAGTCGTCGATCTGCACGTTGATGTCCAGCCGGTCCAGCTGGGCCTTCTTGTGGCGTTCCACCGTCGAGCCGGCTGCGTCGGCCTCAAACTCGCCTGCCTCCTGCCACATGAAGCCCTGTTCCGGCTTCACGGGCTCCGGGGACTCCATGGTGGGGGCCTCAGGGTCGCTCAGGGGGGCCAGGTGTGGCGGCTCGAAGCCACACTCTGTGGGCAGCGCCTCCGGCCCGGGCAGCGCCATGCTGGGCTCGGGAAAGCCGTCCCGGGCCGGGTCGGGGAAGTGGGGGTCGAAGGGGGCTATGTCCAGCTCTGGCCGCGGGGTTCGGGGCAGGTGCCGCAGTGTCCGGGGCTTGCGGCTGAAGACGCTGAGGTCGATCATCTTGACAGCGCTGCTCTGCACCAGGGCCTCGCAGCCGCCACTGGCCACCTCGGTGGGGGCCTCCGCTGGGCCCGCATCCTTGTCGTCGCCGGGCACGGACACCTCGTAGACCTCCTGATCCTCTTCCTCTTCCACCTTCTCAAACTTGACCTTGGGCACCAGCCGCACGGGCGGCCGTGTCTTCCGCCGGGTGTGCTTCTCGAAGGCTGCCTCCACCTCCAGCACCTCCTCCTCTGCCGGCTCCTCCAGGGCCCGCCCGTTGCAGGCCAGCTGGTAGACATCGGGGCCCGGGGCCCGGGGCTCCCCCATGGCTGACCCGGACAGCTCCGGCCCCAGGTCCGGGTAGAAGGCTTCGGCGCTTATGGTGGCTCCAAAGAGCTCATTTTCTGAGACCAGGCCCAGCACGGCGGCCTGAGCCAAGGAGAGCACCACCACGGCATCCGTCTGTGTCCCTGAGTCCATGAAGCCCTCCATCCCGTGGCGGCTGGCTAGGAGGGCATCGCTGCAGGAGGAGAAGGGAACGTTAGCACTGCCGCTCAATGTCGCGCAGACAGACAACAGACAGACAACAGACAGACACACTCAGCAAGGGCTCGGCCAGTTTTGGGCGTGTCTGTCCCTGACGCCTTTCTATTCCTGCCTTGGGAACAGGGCACACTTGTAATTACGGGGAGCAATGATAACCCTCTGTGTATCTGATCATCACCATGTCCTCCATCTCCCCGTGGGATCCTGGGTAAGCCCTGCCCCCTTGCTGACCTCAGTCTTCCCATCTCTGATACAGCGTGGTTGGATTTCCTCAGTGGTTCTCAAACTATGTTCTGCATGTCCTTCAGGAGTTCCAAAAAAAAAAAAAAAAAAAAATCGGATCCAAAATTGCAAAAAATAAAGATTCTGCTATTTTAAAAACCCATCTACTCAAATGTAATATATACCTCATTCCTACACATTCAGTAGGCCCACTGGCTTTGTTGCCAAGGTATAATTAATTTTGCACAGACCTTGAGACTGTACAGTGAGGTGTTAAACAACTGTCACCATTTGTAACTGCTTGGCCATGTGAATGTGGTCTTTTGGAGGTTTTTTTTTTAAATATATTGGGCAAAAACAAGGCAACACACAAAAATCAATTAGGTGCCGAGGCCGATCTCAGACAGCAGCTACCTCCTGTCAGCCCTGATGCTAAATGACTGTGCCTATCACAACAGGTCACTGCTCTTGATTAGCTAAATGTTAGACATTTAAATACCTAAATTTATATTGTGTAAAATATAGCTTGTGGGGACTTCCCTGGTGGTGCAGTGGTTAAGAATCCGCCTGCCAATGCAGGGAATACGGGTTCGAGCCCTGGTCCGGGAAGATCCCACATGCCGTGGAACAACTAAGCCTGTGCGCCACAACTACTGAGCCTGCACTCTAGAGCCTGCGAGCCACAACTACTGAAGCCTGCGCACCTGGAGCCCATGCCCCGCAACAAGAAAAGCCACCACACTGAGAAGCCTGCGCACCGCAACAAAGAGTAGTCCCCGCTCGCCGCAACTAGAGAAAGCCTGAGCACAGCAACGAAGACCCAACGCAGCCAAAAAAAAAAAAGAAAAGATATTAGTGGGTTAAAAAAAAAAATGTATAGCTTGTGTCTGATTTGTACACTGGAATTCCATGTGAGATCTGATTTGAAAGAAGGGCTCCATGATGGCTACCAAGTTTGAGAAAACTGGCTGAAATGAATGCTAAAACTGGCCCCCAGGGCTTCCCTGGTGGCGCAGTGGTTGAGAGTCTGCCTTGCCGATACAGGGGACATGGGTTCGTGCCCCGGGTCCGGGAAGACCCCACATGCCGCAGAGTGGCTGGCCCCATGAGCCATGGCCGCTGAGCCTGCGCGTCAGGAGCCTGTGCTCCGCAAGGGAAGAGGCCACAACAGTGAGAGGTCCACGTACCGCAAAAAAAAAAAAAAACTGGCTCCCAGGTTTACAGCTATGCTCTCTAATCCAACAGGTGTTTCTAAAAAAGCCAGTGAGTCCACCTATCAGGGTCCAACCCCCGGTGCATCAGCTTCCTGCCTTCATTGAGGCTCCAGGTGCACCAGTGCCCTCCGTGTAGCCCAGCCTTTGCACAGGGATTCTCCCACCCAGGTGCCCTTTCCCCAACCCCATGAGCTGCCGGCTCCTCCCACCAGCGCACCAGGCTTCCCTCAAATTCCCCCTGTTCCTGGGGCTTCCCAGCCCTCCCCACCAGCCCGGATGTGGAAGGGCCTCCTCCCTGGCCTGGGATACTCATCAGATGGTACCCCGCCTCCGGCTTAGTGCCCAGCACAGCACATCAGAGGCACCCCATAAGGAAGGGGAAAGGAAGACAGGACTGGGGTGGCTCCTGCCTGCCTTGCCGGCTCTTCTCCCAGGACCAGGGTCAGGTGCATGGCCGGCGGCGGCCTTTCCTCAGGAAACCAGCTCCCGGCCTGGTGCCTCCCTCCCCCCACAGGCCAGAGGAGCTTCCCCTTCCTGAAGCCGGCTAAAAATAAAATACCCCAGGGAGGAATTTAGCCTCCTTGAAACAGACACTAAAGATTAAACTATTAAGCTTAAACCAGGGCTCTCATGGAAGGGGTCAGATGGAAGGAAACCTTTGGGTCCACCTGGAACAGGCTGGGGGGTTAGCCCTAATTCAGAGCCCACCTCCCACCCCCTGCTGGAAAGAGCACCCAACTTGAGCTTGGCCTCAAGTCCCAGCTCTGTCGTGTACAAGTGACTAAGCAAAGTCACTTCAGAGTCATTTCTGCATCAGTGTCCCTGTCCAAAAATGGGGATGGAAACACCTACCCATGGGAGGGTTGTGAGAGCCCAGAGGTCAGAATGTAGATGAAGGGGGTTAGTTAATTATAAAGCCCTCACCAAATGTAAAGAGTCACTATTATTTATCTGCCCAGATCTCTGGAAGCAGGGTTTTCTGATGAAAACCACAGAGCTAAGAGACTTTTCCATTCTGGGGCCCGAAATTCGAGCAAAGGTTTGGATGATTCTGCGACAGCCTTTAGAGACTAAGAACTCATTCACTGATTAGTGCAGCAAATATTTGCTAAATCCCTGCTATGGATCAGGCCCTATGCTTGGAGATGTAAGGGAGATGAGGACACCCCTGTGGTGTCCAGAGATGACCGCTGTGACCACCGGAGCCCCTGTTGGGGAGCATCACTGCCTTGGATGGCAGTGGCCCATCTGACACAGCACCCAGCAGCACCCAGCAGCAGCCCTCGTGTCTGCTGTGGGTTTGAGAAAACAAGCAGCTCAGCACTTTTGTCTAGACTTCCTCAAAGTCAGGGCCAGTGGAGGGGAGGGACTGACCCTCAACAGCGGAGCCTGTGCTAGGACTTGGCCCTGGATTCTAAATTCAAATCTCGACAATATCCTTTTCTAGCTCAGGTATATCCTGTCACATCCTGAGCCTCAGTTTCCTCATCTCTGCGGAGGGGGATATGGTGCCTGAGTCCTGGGGTGCTGAGGAGATGAGATGAGGATGCCAGTGGAAATGTTAGTTCCCTCACCTGTGCTCTTCTTCTGGCCCCAGTCCCTGGCACCACCCCTCTTCTGGCAGCTGAAGGGAATGGGAGCAAAGAAACCCATAACATCACTCTACTGGCAGATGAGTCGGCGAAAGAGTCAGCCAGTGTCAGCCTGTGGGAACTGGAGCACAGGTCTGCTGTGGTCCGCTACACGGAGGGTGATCATGTAACATTCCATCCCTGTTAGGAGGGACCTTCTAAGAGTGAAAGGGGCCACTCCTAAGGCTCACACCAGGATCCCAGGTGCAAGCCGAACCTGCCCTTGGCCACCACGTGTCCCCCTCCTGCAGGGACAGGTGGCAGGTTTCACTTTGGGGCTGAAGACTGGAGCCTGTGCCTGGGTGTAAACGGGGACCTGCCCACAGTCCTTGCTTTCAAGGGGTTCGAGCCCACGTGCGGGGACGCAGAGGTGCCAACAACTAACCACAAAGGTGGTGACTGAGTGCTCACCAGGTCCCAGGAAAGCCATTTCATCCTAAGAACAATGCCATGGGGGTGGCGTGGGGGTGGTGAGCGCCACACTGCACAGCCCAGGAATCTGGGGCATAAGTACCAACAGCAAAAGCTCAAGAGTGCCCTGGCAGTGAGGGCAGAGCTGGGTCAGCACGTGGGCCCCATCCAGGCTCCGCTGCATCTTCTGTGTAACCTGCCCCCCTCAGGCTCCCAGGAGCCAGCAGCAAAGCACGGGCAGGCTCTGGGCAAACCGCAGCGTAAAGCCTCAGACCTGTCCCCGCCTGGCTGGTCCAAGGCTCCGGCCGGACTGGGGAACTGGGGTCCCCCTCAAGGGCAGCCACAGCCCTTCCTTGGGTCTCCACTCAGAAAGCACTTTTTCCTGGGAGCCTCCATCAACCCATCTGCCCATCTGGCCCGTCAGGCCCCTGCTTTCTTTTACTGGGTGGATACTTGCCTGACCAGACACATATCACCCTGTAAACACATGTTTAAGGGGCTTATGGGGCTCAGTGTTCACTGGGGCAGCCAGGCAGGCTGTGTGTGTGTGTGTACTCATGTGTGTAGGAGGGGCTCTGTTTGTTGCGACAGAAGAAAGAGGGCAGAAGGAAGAATGAAGACAGAGGGAATCTAATTCACCTGCGTTTCGCATATGTGTCAGTTCGCCTATCACACACAGGGCCAGGGAGTGGGAAACTGGTGGCTCTGCAACCCTGGTGCCATTATTCCCCCTCCTCCTGGGCCATCTTTTTGGCCCCCCGCTTCTCAGAGGCCACAACTCTCCCGTTTTATGTCCTGGCACAGGCTGCCCAGGGCAGGACGAGAGCCCGCCAGGTGCGCCCCACCTGTGTGCCAGGGCGGGCCCCACACCTCAAGGACCCTTTTGTCATCTTCCTGGGCCCCCCGTGGCACCTCCTTTCTCAGGGCAAGGCCTCTCTCCCCCCTCTTGTGCCACGGGTTCAGAACAAAAGCTCTCTACAATGTCCAAGAGAAAGGGGAGCTCAGACCGCCTCGGGCTCTGCACAGCCTGGACTATGAGATGAGGGGCCATCAGAGCTGATGCAGCTCAGCCTCCTACCAGGACACCCTCGGTCCACAGGGTGGAGAGAAAGGAAATGGCAAAGGCAGGGAAATAGAGGAAATGGAATCACTGCCTGATTGTAGTTTAAAGACTTGCACTGGGAGTAGGGGGAAGGGAGGCCATAGCAGAAAGAGAGAGAGAGAGAGAGAGAGACAGAGAGAAGGAGAGAGAAGGGCTGTGGAGGCCAAGAAACAAAAGCAGGGGAGGGGGAGGAGTAGAGTGGAGAGAGAGGAGGGGACTGTGTCAGTGACACCAGAAGCCCAGGGCTGCCCTATTTCCCAGGGCTTAGCATCACCCCCTCCCAGGTCTGAGCGCCAGGCCAGCCCTGGGGAGTGACCCAAGTCTCATCCCCTGAGGCCCAGCAGGAGGTCTCCCCAACCCAGGCAGGGACCCAGGTCCTCCAGA